GGAACAGTGTCTCCTCTTGTTTTGGATATGGCTTTTTACTGTGTGTAAAAGGCTTTCATTTTTTTCTAGCCTGTCTTCCAGAAGAAAAAACTAGTCAGATTTTTGTAGATGCCTGGAGGTTTAAGTAATTTGAAAAGCATGACATATCTACCAGCGTTCCGGGTATAGGAGGAATTCCTCTGCTCTACAGCGAACTTTCTCAGATTAGAAGAAGTTGCACAAGTATTTTAGAAATCATTAGTTAGAATAATGAGGAAATGCTTGTGCAGTTGTGGTTTCTGCAAGAATATTTTAGCTCACATGTACATTAAACTTGTACATACCTCTGACTTTTTTTTTTTTTCTTCACTTACTAGCCCAAGCTATTAGGGGAGACAAATGTCTGTTTGCCGTGTTTCTTGTAAATGATCAAAACGTTGTTTGCGATCAGATGTGAGATTTCCCGTCTTTGTAGTTTTAACAGTGAATATGTTTATCACATTTTAAAGTTTATTAAAGATAATAGCGTCTTGTACAATTTAGCAATATTTAATTACAGGATTCAAGTCCAAATGTAAGGAAATGCTATGTTTAAATTCTTCCCTTCTGGCATTTGAGCATGCTTTTCCCATCTCAAGAGAAGTCACTGTCAGTTGTTTTACAGTTCTGTTAGTATTTTGGTTAACAACAAAAAAGTCGGCACAAATACTATAGCTTACTTGAGATGCTTTGATTTGATCGGTAAGACTAAGTTATTAAGTGTAGACAAATAAAAATTACTTTTTTGGGTTATTTTTTTTTCTTACTCAGTTGACATCTGAGCTCCTCTGAAATATGCAGGACTACAGTATTAGTATTGGCTGATTATCTGGACATTGGCACTAACGTGAGATTCCCCGTGCTTATTGCCGTGCTTGTGCTAATAGAGGTTATGCAGGTATTGTAAGGATGAAAAAGCCAGATAATGCTTTTGCTGACCTATCTACAACATGTAAATGAAGGAAAGGGAAGAAAAAGGAACCATATTTAACAGTTGTGTGGCAAAAGAAAATAAAAATTTGATTCATTCCTCTTTTGGTCTTTGTCACTGTAGGCAAGTAGCTATTTTCCATCTGTTTCTTTCATTCAGTTTCCTTTGCATCTTTCTTTTTGCAGTTCTTTTAGGACACATACACATGTATTGAGTTCTGCCCTTCATTTATTCTTTTGTCATTGTTTCCATTTCACTTTCCCTGTGTTTCATTCCTGTATCTTTCTTGTTTAGACCAAGTGGAGGATCCAGCTGGCAGTAGCAGCCATGTAGGACCCTTCACGAACCTGATGGTAAGTGCACGTGTGTACTTATACTCAGGCTTCCACCAGGTTCTGTACTGCCAGGATTTTCCCCCACCCCCCCCCCCCGATTCGAGTTCTTGACATCTTAAACTGTAAGAAAATTAAGAGACAGATATCTTGGGTTACTCACTGGTATCCTTTATATCAGAACTGCAGGTGCTGGTTTTCACTGGAAATGTGCAAGGAAAAAAATGATGCAAATCTTTCAGGTTTACGTGGATTTAAAAAGCGCTTTGCAAACTCTTGAGGGAAACTTTATCGAGGGCTATTAGATATTATCTTTTAAAGTTCCTGAGCAGATAGGTGAAAGCTGGCAGAGTATGCCGGGGAAGTATCATTTTACCAGTACTCTGTTTTTAAATTCTTTCCTGGGCATCTGCTATTGGTCATTATCAGACCTAGGACCCTGAAATAGGTGCATCTGGGACGGTCACTGCCCTGCTTGACTACAGAATTCCTTCAGTCTTTAAGGAGAACAGCAACCTAGAAAATGACCAAGCGGAAGCTGATCCAAGGAAACCGTTGAAAAGCAATGGGTATCTCTAGTTGATACTTGTCAGAAATTGATTTGATGCATCTAAAATTATGTATGTATGCAAGTAATTTTGCTTGCTATTCTGAGCAAGGGTGAGTGGGTGATAGATGAATCTTCTCTTCAAATGTGTTTATACTTAAAGGTCAAGAATTTGAAAAATTTCCAACTGTATCTGTGAGGAGGTTTCAATTTTTTTTTTTTTAAAGGATTGTTTCAAGAGGTAACTTGCAGATCTCCTTCCTATCAATAGGATAAGTAAGGAGGTGATCTAAGTAACTCAATTTCATTTATGAATCCCGCTATCCTAGCGATTTCCCAGGTTACAGTCGTACTTGAGGTACTGTAGTGTGTTCTGCAAACTGACAATGCTTTGGAAAACCTATGTTCTTCTTAGCACTTGAGTAATTTTATATATATATTACCTCACATATTAAAGAAAGCAATGCATTTCTAGTCTTGCTGTAAGTAAGAATTAATTGGCTTCCAGTTTGAAGGCTTTCACAGCACCTCACGTTATGCTGAATCTCAGCACTGCTCTAGAAGCAGATGTAGAAGTGCCCAGTGACTGCATCTGCAGTACCATCACGTGCTGCCCCGTGTAGTAAAAAATAACGTCTCTAACCATGACCAAGTTTGACACAGATATGACGCCCAAGGAGGCTCCATTTGGTGGTGCTGCTTTCTTAGGATAAACTGTATCCCTCTGTGGGGGGGGAAGGGCGTTGGGAGAAGAGGAAGAGCACAACAGTAGGCTTGGTGGTCCGTGGACCAGTCTTGTCCTCCTTGTTTCCAGTCTCGTCTGTACAGGTGTGAGGCATGCTTCTAGAACTTCGCCTTTTAAGTCAAGATACTGATATTGGTCTTCAAAAGCTAAGCAGTCTGCAAAAAGTTAATTGCTGTTAAAGGGTCTAACAGCTAGACTATGTTATGTTACTTTGCTCCTAATGTGTATTGTGATGCATGTTTGATTCCCTAGGAACGTACTGAAACGTCACAGTTGGGCCTGGTTCCTAGAAATGGAGCTGTCGGTTGTGTTACTGTGCAATTCAAGAGAGATTTCAGGTGGCTTAGATGCATCTGGAAATGTATTTAATTTACACTTATTAAATGTAAATTTATTATTTACATTTATTTATTATTATTATTTATTATGTATTTATTTATTTATTATCTTCTTACTCAGATCTTGATACTCCATATTGTTATTAGGAACATTAGAGGTGCTTTTTGAGTTATGTTCAAATTGAATATTAAGTAACCTGTGAGAAAAAGATGCACTTAAACTCCTTAGGCCTGTGTGAACGCTGAAACACTACACTAAAACTACAGTACGCTAAAACTACAGTACACTAAAACTGCTGACAACTTGCCAGTGTTTGGTATGGAAGCCTTATATTATACAGTCAAGTCAGCTGGAGTTCATTAAGGACAGTTTAAAGATAGGGATGGTTGTAATATTTGAGGATATTATGAGGTAATTGCTAGTTTAGTTAAGGAGGGGTATGTGTACGTATTTCTGAAAGATGAAAAAGATGTATTCTGAATGTTGACTCTATTATTGGTTTCTCAGACTAAAAACTCTTAAACTGGAATAAGAAAAAATTGAATAATTAGACGCAAAACGGAAACACATTGTGGAATTCAGGGAGAGTCTGTTAAACTCGAGCTCCTTGGGAGATAAATGTAGATGATTATTTAGCTAGTGTAGACCGTTCACATAAAACCAAGCGTGTTCTTTTTTAAAGCTGACCTGTCTCTGATCCGTTGTACAGGAGGGGCCACATACTTTGAAAATTCCTATTTGAATAGAGAGGAGCACTTTTCTTTAAAGGCGTTTGCAAGTTCTTGGCGCAAGATGTGAAGAATAATTTTGAGAAAAAAGGAGGAACTTGTTGACAGGATTATGAGTTGGAAGAATGTGCTTTTAAATAAGAGATGGATTTAGGGCTATGATTCACACCTCTGACTAGAGGGAAGGGTCAGTATGTTAGAGTAGTGTTTTCTGTGTAAGAAGGGGCAAAGGAGGAATTTGGATTGCTGCTTCTGGAGAATTCTCATTCTTCAGAGGTGGGTGTGTAGAACTGTAAAGTTTCAGAAGAAACTGGTATCTCAGCTGCAGGGTTGTAGGTAAAATAACAATCTATGTGGGGAAATACAGTATTTGCAATAACTTCAGTATGAAGATGTTTCAGATGTTTTCATCTGTTATTACACAGTCATTGCCATTGTTTCCAGATATTATAGGACTGAATCTTTAAGGCCATGGGAAAGAAATAGCACTATACCTTTGTAGTGCAATGGTAAATGAAGTTTTTAAGTGTCTTTACGTCTTGCATCACTGATTAAGTCTTTGCATAATTGCCATTTGTCTTTGCATAACTGCCCTAATCTTCACAGTGTGTTCATCGTCCTGTGCAACTCAAATGCTTCTTAATTTTGTGAACAGAAAGTGTTAGCAGACCTGTTTGTGTCTATGGACATGATGAAATACCTTACTATGTATTGTTATCCAGTTCCATCTAATTTGTTTTTACTGCTTTTGCCTTTTTGGTCCAGATCATGCTGCTTTTAGTCGTCTTAGTAATGTTTATATTTCATTGCTTTGAATGTAACTGTCTTCTCCAAGTCGTTATTCAGCATATTCACACAAGTATAGAAGCCTCTGTAGGATTCCTCTTACAGTCTTCCAGTTGATATTAGTGGTTAATAGTACATGAACAAATTTCCTATTTTCTATGTACTGGTATTAGACACATTGATCTATCTAGCAACTGTGTGAAGGGACTGTGTAACTGTACGAGACGAGCCGGTTAACTTGGACGATACACTTCCATAAATTTTATGCTTGCTCTTTCAGAATCTTCAGTTCTGTAGAAACTCAATGTGTCATTACTTTTCATTTCTTCTAGGCCTTAGGACTTACTGCTGTTTCAATTTATAATCGCAGAACAGACATGACGGTTAAATGGACTGATGTGTAATTTCTAAGTTGTCCTTTTTCTTTTTTTTCTTTTTTTCTTTCTTCCTTTGTTTTACACTTTGGCCCTCAGCACTTTTAACATAATTTTTATTTGCTTGGTTACTTCTGTCACTTGAATATGAAAAGTAAAAATTACTGAGCAGGAATAATAAACATGTTGTTTTCCTAGGAAAGAAAAAGACTCAGGAGGGTAAAAACAAGGGAAAGAAGGCAACGGAGACGAAGCAGAAAAAGACTGATTTGGATTCCACTTGTGCAGATATGAGGGATTCTAAAGAGGGTGAGAGCTCTCAAGACTCTAACTTTTCTTCTATCCTTTTAAATTAAAGAAGGACACCTGTCATGTTTAATACGTTAAGTAGACCGGCAAAGCGAACATGTTTATATTGTTTGCCTAGCCTTTTTTATTGGTAACGTGGATGTCAGAAGTGTGTCCTTAAGCATGCAACTCTGACAATATGGAAAAACAAATGTACTGTAAAAATTGGACATAAATCTAAATTCCGCATAACATAAAACCAGAGACAAGTCCTTACTCTAAAATGATGTCTTTGGAACTTAGTTATACAATTGTTACTTTGCTCCTCTTCTAGGGAAGACTACTTCCTTATATAGCAATTATCTTTCCATATACCTGGTCTTATTGTTTTGATTGACACACAGCTATTTATAAAGTCAATGGGGGGAGAGGAAAGAAGCTATAATAATGCACAGAGTAGCTGAGCGTGCTATTTGTCCTAAAGATGATCTGCAAAGGTTATTTATAAATTGACTTGTCTCTTTTTACCTACAGTGTATGTGAAATGACTGAAAGATGTTTAATATATTTTTTTCTTCCATTTTAAAAGAATGTAAAACTTACCTCTCCTGTGGGTATGACTGAAAATATTTAAGGCAGTTGTTTATTTGAGGTTTCTTTTCTTGAACTTTTTTGACCCATGCCTCTCCCTTCCTTCACTCTGTCCCTTTTGCTTCCGCACGATATACACCGTTGCCCCAGCTAGGGGTTGGAGAAGAACTCGTCCTACACACGTAGCTGCTTATGAAACACTGAATTAACAAAATGATTGTGTTCTTCAGCAATGGATGTATCTGACAGCAGGTAGAGGGAACTGGCAAACAGAGGCGTGGTTAAGAAACTGGTCTATGTCAACATGTGAGATGCATGGAGTGTCTGATACGGAAGTGTCAGAGATATCTATTCAGGCAACAGCTAAATGAGAATCCGGTGTAAAGAGTGGAAAGTAGGACTGAAAAGCAGGCCTTGCTGTATGCATTGCATGGTAGTACCAATCCAGACTGGTGTATTGTGCATAGGTAAAAAATAAAAGAATAATTTGGTGAAAATGGTCAAAGGCCAAAATGTGCTTGACGGACTTCCTAGGTATTTTATCAGTAGGTATTAAGATATTTCTGTACTGCTTTTCTGACGCTACTTTGCAGTAAGAAAAGTCAATGAAGATCTTCTTGAGGATTCTTGAGCTATTCTGTGGTCTACATTGAAGTGTTCCAGTACTCTTCAGACTGTTTGTGGGTTTTTGGTCATGATGTTCGTTCCTAAGTATTAAGTATAAACAGTTGCCTATGTTTTGCTGAAGTTGCAGAAAATAAATTGAGTACAGTTTTATTCTCAGTACCAAATCACAGCGATAACATTTATGACCCAAACAATATTTGACTATATTGTGTTAGAGGACAAGGTAGAAGAAGAGAGTAGCATTTTTTTTTGGAGTGTTTGTTAAACTGGCTCATACTTTTCATACTTTGTTTATTAGGTCAAAAGGAGGAAGATGAAAAACCTTCCGTTTCTGCTGTGCTGTCCCTGGAACAAACAGCTGTGATTCAGGAGATGGTAAATCAAGATGTACTTCCAAAGCTGACGATCCCCAGTCCCACTAATGAGCCACAAATGGTAACTGAAGACAACCAAGGAGCAGCAATAAACTGTGGATCAGATGATTTGGATGATGATGAGGAGGAGGAGGATGAAGATGAGGAAGATGAAGAGGAGCTGGAAGATGCCAGTATGCCTAAAGACAATGCGGAAATGCCTTTGATATGTGAAGAAAAGTTAGACTTTATGGAAGAGCAAAAGAGCATGTCAGAAGAATCTCCAGAAAGCTCTCCAAAGAAAAAGCTTGTTGTGAAAATTCCAAAAGCGAAAGGTGAATCGAATGGTGATATTCAGGAAACATTTATGTTTCCTTGTCAGCATTGTGAGAGGAAGTTTACAACAAAGCAAGGACTTGAACGCCACATGCACATCCATATATCTACTGTTAACCATGCTTTCAAATGTCGGTATTGTGGGAAGGCATTTGGTACTCAAATTAACAGGCGAAGACATGAACGGCGTCACGAGGCAGGGCCGAAAAGGAAACCGTTTTTAACACTAACAGCAGCGCAACACTTGGATAACGTTGGTGATAACCAGGTAATTGTGGATGATGGTCTTAAAGATGACTTGAACGTTTCCGGTCTTGTGCAAGATTCTGTAGTCTTGGATTCTGAGAAAGTCTCCCAAGAAATTTCAAACTCTGCTTTTGCTGAAGAAAATAAGGAACCCAAAGAATTGCATCCGTGCAAATACTGCAAAAAGGTTTTCGGAACTCATACCAATATGCGGAGGCATCAGCGTAGGGTTCATGAGCGTCACCTTATTCCCAAAGGTGTCAGAAGAAAAGGATTCTTTCCTGAAGAGCCACAGCTTCAAACTGAGCAGGCCCCACCAGTCCAGAGTGTGTATATAGCAAGCACGGAAATAGAAGAGGAAGGTGAAGTGGATGATGTTTATATTATGGATATTTCCAGCAATATCTCTGAAAACTTAAATTATTACATTGATGGTAAAATTCAGTCCAACAGCAGCACTAGCAATTGTGATGTGATTCAAATGGAGTCTAACTCTGCAGACTTGTATGGACTGAATTGTATAATCAGTCCAGTCACAGTGGAGATTTCCCAGAATTTAAAGGTTACACAGACACATGTGAATGAACCTCCTAAGGAGCCCTCCAGCAGTGGGAGCAATGAATCCAAAAAGAGGAGAACGGCTAGCCCTCCTCTCGTACCAAAAATAAAAACTGAAATAGACCCAGAACTTATAAATGCTACTAGTTCTTTAAATCTTCCTCTTAGCATTTCAACAGAGAACTTAACTTTTCATAAAGAAAAAAGTGTTTATTTGTCATCAAAATTAAAACAGCTTCTTCAGACGCAGGATACTAAGAAAATAACTCCATCAAGTGAAATCCCTAAACTAGGACCTTCTGTTACATCACCACCTATTTTGCCTCCAGCGTCTGGTAGATTCAAAAGAAGGACCAGCTCTCCTCCCAGCTCTCCACAGCATAGCCCAGTACTTCGAGACTTTGTCAAAGCAGGTGAGGGAAAAACTGTGTGGAACGATAGTATTCGGAGTTCAAAAATGCCAAAGTTAGAAAGCCACAGCAACTCGCCTGCATGGAGCTTGACTGGAAGGGAAGAAAGGGAAACTATGAGTCCTCTTTGCTTTGAAGACTATAAAATATCTAAAGACTGGACAGCAGCTCCGACTTTTGGCAACGTGTGCAACCAGCAGCCTCTGGATTTATCTAGTGGTGTAAAACAAAGGTCGGATGTCAAAAATAAGAATCAGGTTCCTTGGGAATCTGTATTAGATTTAAGTGTGCATAAGAAGCCTTGCAGTGATGCTGAAATTAGGGAGTATAAAGAAAATAATTCTCTACAGCCAACCTGCAGTGGTATTAAAAAGAAGAAACCAACTACTTGCATGTTACAGAAGGTTCTGCTGAATGAGTATAACGGAATGGATGCAGCTACGGACAGCGCCCCCAGTGCGAACAGAAGCCCAAGCCCAAGTAAATCATCGGAATCTCAGGCAGACCCTGACACGGATCCTGGTCTATTTGCATCTTCTGTTGACACTCAGCCCCTTCGTTCCTCTCTTTCTCCTGTGCCACAGCCATCTGTACCTTCAGTGTGCCAGCTGCCTCCTTTATTGACACCAACAAATCCGCCTTCCCCACCACCCTGCCCGCCTGTGTTAACAGTTGCTACGTCACCTCCTCCCCTTCTTCCCACGATACCGTTACCAATTCCAGATGTGTCTACCAGTGCCACTAACACATCTTCGTGTCCATCACCACTCTCTAACACTACTGCCCAGTCCCCACTACCTGTTCTTTCACCTACAGTTTCTCGTTCTCCGTCTCCCGTTCCTTCTGTTGAACCTGCTGCCTCACCTGGTCCTCCTACTCTCTCCTCTTCCTCTTCCTCCTCCTCCTCTTCCTCCTTCTCTTCGTCATCATCTCCCTCTCCTCCTCCTCTTTCAGTGGTTTCTTCTGTTGTTTCCTCTACTGATAATCTTGAAAATACTCTCCCGATAATAAAGCAGGAAGAAATCGATAATGAACAAAAGGCAAGAGAAGATCCTCAGACTTCAAGTGAATCAGGAACAGTGCAGGAAACGTTCAGTAAAAGCTTTGTGTGCAATGTTTGTGAATCACCTTTTCTTTCTATTAAAGACCTGACTAAGCATTTATCTGTTCATGCTGAAGAATGGCCCTTCAAATGTGAATTCTGTGTACAGCTTTTTAGGGATAAAACAGACTTGTCAGAACATCGCTTTCTGCTTCACGGAGTAGGAAATATCTTTGTTTGTTCGGTCTGTAAAAAGGAATTTGCTTTTTTGTGCAATTTGCAACAGCATCAGCGAGACCTCCATCCAGACAAAGAATGCACGCATCACGAGTTTGAAAGTGGGACTTTGAGACCCCAGAATTTCACTGACCCCAGCAAGGCAAACGTCGAACACATGCAGAGCCTCCCAGATTCTTTGGACCCTTCTAAAGAGGAGGAAGATGAAGATCTAAATGATTCCTCTGAAGAGCTGTATACTACTATAAAAATAATGGCCTCTGGGGTAAAATCTAAAGATCCGGATGTTCGCATGGGTCTCAATCAACACTATCCGAGCTTTAAACCACCTCCATTTCAGTATCACCATCGTAATCCTATGGGTATTGGAGTTACTGCGACAAACTTCACTACCCACAATATCCCGCAGACCTTTACTACTGCCATTCGTTGCACAAAATGTGGAAAAAGTGTTGATAACATGCCTGAGTTACACAAACACATATTGGCCTGTGCGTCTGCCAGTGATAAAAAGAGATACACACCCAAAAAAAATCCAGTACCACTGAAACAGACAGTGCAGCCTAAAAATGGCATGGTGGTTATAACTGGGCCTGGAAAGAATGCCTTCAGACGAATGGGTCAGCCTAAAAGACTTAATTTCAATGTTGAGATAAGCAAAATGTCCTCAAATAAACTAAAAATAAGTGCATTGAAAAAGAAAAACCAGCTTGTCCAGAAAGCTATTTTACAAAAAAAGAAATCTGCGCAGCAGAAAGCAGAATTGAAAAGCAATCCATCCGAGTCAGACTCTCACATCTGCCCCTACTGTAATAGAGAATTTACTTATGTTGGAAGTCTGAACAAACACGCGTCATATAGCTGTCCCAAAAAACCCATCTCTCCATCCTCTAAGAAAAATTCATCGAAAAAAAGTGCAAGTTCTTCATCGCCTGCAAGCACTGAAAAAGGCAACAACCAGCGTAGGCGAACAGCGGATGCAGAAATCAAAATGCAAAGCATGCAGGCTCACTTGGGCAAGACAAGAGCACGAACCTCGGGACCTGCACAAATGCAACTACCCTCTGCGTCCTTCAAGTCAAAACAAAATGTTAAATTTGTACCTCCAATTCGCTCTAAAAAGCCAAATTCATCTTCATCGTTGAGGAACTCTAGTCCTGTAAGAGTGTCCAAAATGACTCACGTTGAAGGGAAAAAAACTAAAGTGGTTGCTAAGAACAGTTCGTCTGGAATCTCAAGCAAAGCATCCCGGAAATTGCATGTCAGACTACAAAGGAATAATAAAGCAGTTTTGCCAAGTAAGTCTGCTGCGGCAAGTAAGAAAAAAGCAGACAGGTTCAGTGTAAAATCTAGAGAAAGGATTGGAGGACCTATTACGCGAAGCTTACAGCAGGCGGCTAATGCAGAAGCAGCAGAAAACAAAAGAGATGAAAGCAGTACAAAGCAAGAACTAAAAGATTTCAGGTAAGCATTTCATTTGAAGTTCAAACAAAACAGGAACACTTTGCTTGCTGCTTTTCCATTTTTCTTGATCTTTTTCAAGTTTTTTTAAATGTAGATTGAAAAGAGGTTGCAGTTTCTACAACATACGGTTAGCAGCTCAGTCATGCTGAGGTATGATGTACATACTTGATGCATTTTGTCAGGAAATAATACATAATTTGTACAGAAAATGTCTTTTATGAGTTGAATTGAAAATGCTGGAAAAAATGTCAGTGCCTGAGCGCAAGCTTAAACCTCGTGTTGTTAAGCCTAACGTCCTTGAAGACGACAACCTTGTATTTGATATCCAGCAAGTGGTTGCCTAGAATGATTCTCGGTTTGGTTTATGGTGGTTCATTAAGCTAAAAATGACTGCATTTTTACCTGTTTACTAAAACAACTTGGATTTTTGGTCTTTAATAAACAATATTCTCTGTGTCTCATATTAAAAAAAAAAAAATAAAACCTAAGTACTTCAAAAAAAACCTATGTACAAACTAATCGAGTCAGATCACTAAATACTTAACCTCTCTCTAGGAGCAGTAGATGCGTAAGAATGAATGTGCAATTTTTTGTGAGACGGTATTATGCCCTTATGTTTCAGTATAAACAAATTTTATAACTAAAGTGCCACTATATTTCATTTTGAGATAAAGTATTCTTTTAATCACAAGAAAGGGTAATATTTAAAAGAAAAAAAAAAAAACTATCTTAATCTATGTGCCTGAGTCCCGTTTAAAGTTATTGTGTAGCGTCTCAAATCAGTAGGATAGTTTGAAAACTCTCTGGAATTTCTGTTAGCAGGCTCCTGCTATGTCATTCTTGGAATAGGCATCTGATTTACTGGATAAGTTTCACAAAACTCACTGATAATTAAGAGCTGTCTTATTTTTTTCTAATGGTAGTCTGTGGCTGTGATTATCAGAAGAAGATTTATGGTGGAAGGTAGTATCTTTTATCAAAACAGTTGATTGGGGGGTGAGGAGGGGAATGGTAACCTCTTCCAGAGCAGGTGTTCCCCAACTTGATTTGTCAAGAAGCATCAACATCCAAACTTCTGTGTCACGGTGAAGACCTTTTAGGAGGTAGTTCTGGGGAAATACTTCATATACGGTAAAGGTTCAACATAGCAGAATCATTTCAAGGAGCTAGAGGGGAAATGTGACTTAACATCCTTAATACTCAAAGCAGGAAATTTTGAAGAAGCAAGGTATGTTACTGGAATTCGGAGGCTGACGGTGTAGAAAACGCTTTTAAAGAAGAAGAAAAAGTCAACCATGCCTCTTCTCTCAGAACATCACTATCTTCATTTTACTTAATTCTGATCGGTTGCTTGCTTAGTGTTATGTGCAAAAATCTTTTACATGATGCCGCAACAGATCAGTAGAGTTTGAAGCCAGAATGACGCATCTTTTCATCTAAATTAAGCATTTGACCTTAAGCGAAAAGAGTGGGCTTATAGATTTGTGCGTATGGAAGTTGCTTAATAGTATTTGGGGTAAATAAAGTTTTACCTAGTAGTAAGATTTCCTTGTTTCAGATATTGTACATTTACTTTGGCAGCTTGCAGTCTTTACTGGTTTAATGAATAGTTATGCTAGAAGGATTTTTGCTTTTTTTTTTTTTTTGTCAGAAATAATGTTCATAAACAGCTTGTCTCATTCTCTTATACCAAGAATGAAGTGGGTTTTTTTTTTTGGTTTTTGTTGTTGTATTTTTGCCTTTATACACTAACGTCATGACAGGCAAACATCGTCAGGGCTAACTTAGAATGTACTCTACATGGGCATTGGGTTTTTTTCCAGGAGATCTTGATTCTTACTACTCTTTCAAGGCCATTTGCTTCATGTAATAATTATGTCTCCAAACTTGTTTTTTTACCTTTCACTTTCTGTGCAAACATACTCCGTTCACAAATAGTTTGTTTTGTCATTTATATTCAGTTTTTGTTTTTTATTTTCTAGGAATCTCCTGTAAAAACAAAACAAATAAAAATCCCTTAATGACATGGTAGAGCTGTTGCATGCTCAACTTAGGATAAGCACTACGACAATGGATGTGAAATCCACCAAGCTTGCGAAACCAGCTGAAGCTGACTCACAGTCATAAAATTGCCTGCAGGCTTCTTGCTAATATTTGGTGCCAGGTGTAGATTTTTCTTATTTGGTACCTGACACACATGCTGGGCTACAGGATGATTCAGATTTAAAAAAAAAAAAAAAAAGACACACACACACACACACACACACACAAATATGAAAAGAAAAAGAGGAATTAACTAAGTCTGCTATGCAACTGAATACTTAGATTCCTGGTTTTGTCCCTACCTTCGTGAACGGTGCCCGTACCTTCATGAATGGCATGCATACAAACAGTTCGGTTGTGAACTTTGCAAAGCCGGTTCCCTGTTTATCGATAGTTGTGTAGATTTGGGGACAACGAATGTTGCTGCACTCATAGTATTTTTGTCATGTGTTAAGTATCTTGCAGCCTTTCTTTTAAATGAATCAGTAGAGAGGAACCTAGCGTGACAGAATTTCCTTTTCGTCCCATCTTCTCTCCACTCTTTGAGTCTTTTAGATGTCCAGCGTAAAATGGGAAAAAGCCCGATTTGGATGTTCTATGAATTTTCCAAGTTCCTATTTATACGTTCAAATGAAACTTTGTATAGCAATGAAATACCAATACCAATTTCTAAATACAATATATAATGAATGCAGTGTATCTTTTTATTGATAAAAAAGGGTAGAACAGGGCTACATACCTGTATATTTTGAAAGTTAAATATATAATTACTCTAAAAGGTCTCACCCCTCTATCTAATAACTTAAAACAACAAATTGGTCTGTTCTTAAACAGCTTTTATGGAAATATCACTTCTCATGTGTTCATATAGCTTTCAAGATGAATGATGGAGTTGATGGAAAAGTGACTAGTTTCATTACACACCCACCCCTTTTATTTTTTGCTCTTGACTTAAAAAGTAATCTACCTCTTAAAATTTGTAGTTTAATACTTGTTTGGTGAATTTGTGCCACTTTAACTTTCACTTTCACTATCATTCCCATTTTGTTACATTTCTGTTATGGGGACTTTATGTTGAAATATTGTATAAAGCATTTGTAGCAAGTTTAAAAAATAAAATATTTAAAATTATTTAAATTGTTTTGGACACTTCAATTGTACTATATGTGATTTACATTTTACATTAATTTCATTTTGTTTTCATTTTGGGTTGTTAATCTGGAGTGTGTTCCTGTATTAAAGTTTGCTGTTAGTTATGTTGTTTCTTTTATTGGAGAGTGATATAAAGACTATTCTAATGAAAACATTAAAAATTACAATTTGACATACAAGTGGGGTTGTCATTGCTTTTGAACACTGTAGCCTTGCTGAAGATACTTTAAATGCAGGTAAGCAAACGAAGAGGAATTTTTCTCCTCCAGCATGGGATACATCATGCAAGTTTGTCAGGTGTGTTAAAGAAGTCTCTGTGGTGTTGCAAGCACTTAATGACCAACTAGATGGAACTATCATGACACATTTTATATGACTGTAATCAATAAAGTTGAACTTTTTTAAAACTTGTGGAAAACTTGCCTTTTGTATGGAAACCAAATGTACGAGGAAGAATGAAGCAATGTACATCTAGAAGGAATTAAGTACGCTTGCATCCTTTAGTTGTCTACACCCTGCTCACTGAAACAGACTTATACAATTTGACACTTACGAGTTATTGTTTGGTTTTTTGTTATTGTAGACATTAATTTATCTAGTTCAAATGATGAAACACTTTTCAATTTTTTTCTGATACTACGCTATTCAATTTTTATGTGCTTAATTCTTCTGAAGCAATGGAATTGAAAAGCACGTTTGAAGAGCTTTGGATCCGCTCAGGAGTTTAGATTGTTGCCCTCTAACACCGAGAGGCCTCAGGGCACGCGTGGTGTCCTCCTGCAGCGGAGCTGGGAGCTTCTGTCTCTCTCTATATTAGCGCGGCAATTGAATGGATTAATGTAACATCATTAAGATTAACAATATATTACAGTAACCCATTTCATAGAGAGGTTGGAACATTCACTGCTAATCCAGCATAACCAAATTAATCTTTAACCTAATTGCCTATCCAAATGAACGCTGCCGTTTGAATAAGATTTTTTGGCGAGAGCTCCCAGTTTACTTCCCAATAGTGTAAGCTTTTTCTCGAAGACATCATCGTCCCGACCATAACAAAGTTGTCCCTAAAGCTTACCTGATGAGGAAAAATCTGGTAAAATAATGCTGAAATTCTAGCACTGAGTGTTTTTGCGGGTACGTTTACATTGTGATAACGTACACCGTAGTTTGTTATTTCCAGTGACAAAGAGTAGTAAGAGGTGTGAATTCTTAGTTGGTGTTACAGGAGCAATTCTACATCAGTCAGTTGGTAGGACAGCCACAGTAAAAGGTTTTAGTATTGTTTAGGTTTTGCTATATTTACCTCAGTGAAAACATTTTCTATTTTACATACCCATAGTTGTATTTGGATATTTTACGATAACGAGAAAACATGAAAAAAAGTAGAAACTAATAATTTTTTAGTTATTGGGGTTGGGGCATGATCTTATCTGGCATTTCACATCTTCCTTACGTTATTGCCACCTAAAATATCGTCAGGTATTTGGGCTTAATACAGTCTCTGTATTTTGATCACCTAGTCAACGTTTATTAGTGATATCAAATAGCGAACAGATCACAAACAAGCTAGCTTCCTTTTCTCAGTACTTGATGCTATGGCACAGTTTCTGTTGCCCTCTTCTTTGCTGTTTCTCTCTTCTGTGATAATAAATCCTGGTCTGTGTCTGGTGATGCTACCACTCTCACATGGTTTGCACAAGTTCATACGCAACAATTCCAAAGCAAGAAGTGCCATATGAGGGGGAGCTGAGATGTAATCTTCGGGGACGGAGCATCATTCCTAAATAGGCTATTCATCACAGGCA